GCCTTCCTTTGCACAGTTTCTCCGGCAGGCAGACTCCATTCCTCTGCTCCGTCTGGCAGTCTTTAAAGACTCACCTTGGCTGGTCTTCCTGGAAAAAGATAATTTTAATTTCCATCATGCCTTTCTTTGGGCCTCACTCTTAGCATTTGACGTATATGGGCTTCTGTGATTATGAATTCTGCCCTTGAGACAGTGGTAGTGCTGTCGTCCCTGCTCTTCTGAAGGCCAGAGATGCAGTGTGAGTTGTGTGTGGGCACAACAGACTGGTAATAGAAGAGCAGGCCTAGAATCGGGTTTCTCCCTCCTTACCCTTCCTTCCCCAGTTCTATTCAGTCTCCTGGGCAGAGGCTCTGGGCTTCAGACTGCAGTTTGCTGTCTGTCTGCAAGACGACAGAACGGAGAGTGACAGACTGAGAGCAAGAAGGCCTGGGCCCAAGTCCAGGCGAGGGGACCTTGGTGTCTGGCGACCTCAGCTAATACATCTTTAAATGAGGACTTGGGCTTCCAGCCTTGTGTCTTCGATGATGATATCTTCCTTGATTACAAGCCTCTCCTGATTCAGGCAGAGTTCACCATTTTGGGAAGGAATTATCAAAAGAAAGCAGTCATTGATTTGTCCCATGTCTCCAACTCCACTGCCCCCACTCCAGCCATGCCTGTCTTCCTGAGTCAAAGGGCCCTTCTAGCATCAAGTGCTTTACTCCTTTGGTAGAGGCTACTTCAGCTGATAAAAAACTGCTTTGAGCTCCTTGAGAGTAAAATTAATAGATTTAGTCTTAGGGAACGCTTAAGAGTCATATGGCCAGCCCTCCTCTTTTTCCTGTGCCCCATTCCTGTAGTGGAGATTTCAAACTGTATGTCGCAGCGTATCTCAAATTCACCATGTCCAAAACAGAATCCATCATCTCGTCCTCTTCCCAGCACCACCCTCTTTTCCAGGCTTCCCTATTTGTTGTCAAGGCCACCGCCATCTTTGCAGTCACTCAGGGCGGGACTCTTTGTATTTGTCCCTCCACATTTCTCAAATATATTCCCTTCTCAACACCCTGCACGCAGCCACCACCCTCCTGCAGGCCCTCATCACTTCTCTCCTTGGCTGTGCGATACCCTTTTGTCTCCTTGCCTCGAGTCTTTGGTGCGATTTTCCTAAAGCCTGACCGGTCAGGTCAGACCTGACTGTGTCACTTCCCTGCTCAGTAAACTCTGGTGGTTCCTTTCTACCTATAGGATCAAATATAAACTTCTCTTTGGCATTTCAATCCATTCACAGCCCCTGGCCCCTTCCCCCCCTTTCTAGGCTTTTCACATACTGCTCCCCTGGTGTTCTCTGTAGCCCAGCCTTGGGACAGCGATGGCAGACTGCTTTCTCTCACCTCTGCCACTTGAAACCTCTGGTTTCAGCTTAAATGTCACTGTCAGTGGGAAGCCTTTCCTGGTCTCCTGTAAGTGTTAGCACTCACCCCACTTCCTCCCCATACCCCCACCCCCTTCCCTCAATACTCAGCCTAGCATGGGTTGTAGCTGTTCTATGTGTAGCCTATGTATGCCTATATAAATGTGTGTTGTCTCCCCAATGAGAGTGTCTTTATACCTCCAGTTTCACATGGTGCCCAGGACATAGTAGATGATTAATAAACACTTGCTGATAGAATGGTTATAAATACGATATTCATAATATGATATATAAAAAATATATTATAATAAATAAATATAAAAAGGCTAATACCCTTATATTTGCTTTTTTGTGTTCATGATCATTATTTAGTTATTTGAGATGTGGTCACCATTTTTCTCTCAAAAGAACATATATCTTTTAGTTAATTTTTCTGTAGGTCTGATTTTTTTAAATTACTACTTTATGAGTTATTATAGGTGAAACTAAAAACAGCAAAAATTGAGAGTTTCTAGATGAATGCAGGGTATATTAAACATTAATATTTAAATTTTATAGATAGTACTTAAAATAGTTAAATTATATCTAAAGAGTCTTATTTTGAAGTATATTCTCTTTGAGCATATAAGCTCAGTTACTTATTTATGATTTTTATTTTTAAATTAAATTAAATTTTTTTTTTTCAATTAGCAAAAGTTCACTTTCTCTCCCTCTTACTTTCCACCCCCAAAGTGAAGCCAAGTAAAACAAATTTCTGCTTGACCACGTCCAAAAAAAAGTCTCATTCTGTACTCTCGGTCTTTCACCTTTCTATCAATAGGTGAGTAGCCTTTTTCATGCTTATTCTTGACATTGATCAGAGTTCTTAAGTCTTTCCAAGTTATTTTTCTTTACCATATGTTGTCATTTTATAAATTATTCTCTTCTTTCTGTTAATTTTGCTCTGTATTAGTTCATACATATCTTCTCAGGTTTCTCTGAAACGCCCCCTTCATCATTTTTTACTGTACGGCAAGATTTCAGAACATTTATGTACTTTAACTCGTTCCACCATTCCCCAATGGGTAGGCACCCCCTCGGTTTCCAATTTTTTGCCACCACAAAAATAACTATGAATATTTTTTGCATCCTTAGAGTTTCTTTTGTTTAGGATTAATGCTTCCTTTAGTCTGCCTTCCCTCTGATTCCCCCTTTTCCCTTCTCTCCTTTTCCTCCTGTTGAGTAAAATATATTTCTGTGCTCAATTGTATACGTGTATTCTTCCCTCCTTTGACCTGTTTAAATGAATGAGGCTTCTCCAAGCCCTTCCTCCTTGTATATTTAGACTTCTACTTGTACACCACAATTATGTGAGACAATTTCCCCTAACTTTCCCTTCCTTTCCGTCACTCCTTCCCCAGCTCCATATGTCCCTTCACCTTTCTTTCCATTCTTCTCTTTATATCATCAAGATATAACAGAACCACTTCCAGGCCTTGTCTAATTAGATTCCCTCTATGACCCCTAAAGAGAAGAGGGTCCACAGGGGACATGTATATCATTTCCCCATATTAGAATGTAGGCAACTTATTCTTTTTTTAGTTTTTTGTCATTGTTCATATTTAACCTTTTTATATTTCTCTCGACCAATATTTGCACTTCATAGTTTCTCTGTATCACTGGTGTTTTCATCAGGAATGCTTGGAAATCTTTTATTTCATTAAAAGTCTATTTTTTTCCCTGTAGGATTGTACTCAGTTTTGCTGGGTAGATTATTCTTGGTTGGAAACCTGTATCCTTTGCCTTCTAGAATATCATAAGATCTGTACTCCTTTATAGTGGTTGCTAAATCATGTGTAATTCTGATGTGGCTCCTCAGTACTCAAATTCTTTCTTTCAGTCTATTCCCAGTACTTCTTTACCTAAAAGCTCTGGATTTTGGTTAATAATGTTCCTGAGTGTTTTCATTCTAGGATTTCTTTCAAGAAGTGACTGATGGATTCTTTCTGTGTCTGTTTTGTCCTTTGGTTCTAAGAGATCTGGACAGTTTTTTGTTGGTTTATTTATTTATTTGTTTATTTTTTAAATTTCTTCAGCTGTGATGTCTAGGCTCCTATTTTGGTCTTGGTTTTCAGGCAGTGTGTAATGATGCTTAATTTTTTTCTCCTGGATGTGTTTTCATTTGATTTTGCTATAAGATATACTTTAAATTTTGTCCTAATTTTTTCAGTCCCTTGACTTCATTTTACTTTTAATGGCTCTGTCATAGAGTCATTAACTTCTCTTTGATCCATTTTAGTTTATTGCTTGGCCAAGGTTTCATCCATATTCTGCCAAGCTCTTAATCCCCTTTCCAATCCTTTCTTCAATAGTTCTCATTTATTTTCCTATTTTTCCTCTAGCACCCTCATTTCATTTACTTTAAAAAAAAATTAGCTCTTTTTTAACTCTTGCTTTATCTCTTCTAGGAATTCCATTTGAATTTGAGGCCAAGCTGAGTTTTTCTTTTAGGTTTGATTGTAGATGTTTTGGAGTCATTCTCTTTTTTCTGTATTTGTGACTTTAATTGCCCCTGTCATCATGGGAATAGTTTTTTTTTTTTTTGGATGAAATTGTTTTTGTTTGCTCATTCTTCTTGCCTATTTCCTGGCTTCAGGCATTATGTTAGGGCTAAGCTCAGCACACCTTTGTAGGGAAGGTCTGCGCTGATGTTACTGTTGCTTTCTTGGGGTATTGAGTGTAGTGTTATTCTGGGATTTTCAGAACAGCTCAGGCTCAAGACCTGAAAGTTTTTAGTGCCTCCCAAGTAGTCTGATTCAAGTCAGGTCTGATTTCTGACCCCCAGGTCTGAGCTCTGCAAGTTCCTGGTATAGGTTGGAGTCTGAGCAATACACTTGTGGACTTGCTCATTTGGAGTTTCAGGAGACAGCTGTAAGATTTCAGCCACTCTCAGCCAACTGGAAAGCTCTGCTGATTTAGTGACAGAATTATGGGCTCCTCTGCTCTGAGATTCCTGCCCTGATTATTCTTTTGCAGGCTTCAAACTGTGCTGGAGGCTAGCATTAAGATTCCATCTGTTCCTGGTGTCCAAGCTATAGAAACTGCTTTTTGAATTGCTTTTTCTGGATACTCTTCTCTAGCATACACAGACCTTACTCTCTGTCTTCCTGTGCTGACCTGGGCTGGGAAAATGGTTTATTGTGATTTTTTTTCCCTGGGATTTCCCTATTAGGATTTGGTCTGGTGCGTTGTTTAAAAGTGTTTGGAGGAGTTTTTTTAGAAGGGAGCATGCTGTATTTCTTCTTGCTACTCTGACATCTTAACCCCGCCTTAAATTTTGAAATATCATTGTTTTGCTTTTAATGTAGAGAAAAATGTCCATTGACTAGATCTGTGCCTTTTCACAAGTTTCAGTTCATTATTACAACTTACTATGACACAGATTGAAACACTTCCCAAGATGGCGACTGTCAGATGCTGAAACTGCCCTAACTTGTGTTGTTTTTAACAGTTCATAATATGGCGAGTTTTAGACTAAGGCAAACTGGCCTGCCTCAAGAAGCTGTTTAGTCCCAATGGAATTTGATTTCCGTTCATCGGCATCATGATTTCTTTTTATGTTTTCCAGGGGAAGGTGGCTCAGACTGCATGTATGTCTGCCTGCAAACATCTAGCCACTTCACTAATGCAGCTGCTTCTGGAAGCAGACGTGAGGCAGCTCAGCCTGGGTGCCCTGCAGCAGTTCAACCTGGATGTTCAGGAGTGTGAACGTAAGGACGGCTTCTTTACGCCCCAGCAGTGGGTTGTGGGGTAAAGGGGGAGGGCAGGGGATTGCCCCTGAAGGGAGCGGAGCCCACTTGGAGAACAGGGGTGGGTTTGTGGACACCTAGAAATCAGACATATGAGCAAAGAATGTCCCGAGAGTCCGAGGGAAAGAAGAAACTAAGCACTCACGTGTGTCCGCAGCTCCGGATTGCTCAGCTTCTGGTCATTTGCCACTCCTTGATTAAAACTGCCTTTTGGAAGGCTACTCACAATCTTGCAGTTGCTAAATCCAGTGGCCTTTTCTCAGCCATTTTCCTTCTTGACCTTTCTTTTGACCTCCACTTCCTTCTAACACGCTTCTGTTGCTTGTGTTTTGGTGACACTGTTTTCTTGCTAGCCTTCTGATCAATTTGCCTCAGCTTCCTCTGTGAGATTATCATTCATATGCCATGGTACTGCCCTAGGGCAGAGGTGGGGAACCTGCAGCCTTGAAGCCACACGTGTCCTTCTAGGTCCTTGGGTGCGGCCTTTTGACTGAGTCCAAGTTTTACATAACATTATTAAAGGGATTTGTTCTATAAAGCTTGAATTCAGTCAGGGGCCGCCCTCGAGGACCTAGAGGGCCCCATGTGGCCTTAAGGCTGCAGGTTCCCGACCACTGCTCTAGAGGTACTCCACAATTTGGTTCTGACACCTCACTTTTCTCTGTATACTCTCCTTTAGTGATTTCATCAGCTCTCTTGTGTTCAGCCGTCGTCCTTAGATAAATGGTAGTCAGATCTGCCTATTTAGTTAGCCCTCATCTCGTTCCTGAACCCCAGGCCTGTAGCTCCAACTGCCTGCTTGATAACATCCCTGTTTCTCGCAGGGCCATCACACCCCTATTCTTCCAGGCACACAGAGTCAGCCTTCAGGCATCTTACACTCTTCCTAAAGCCCCATAGCCAAGTGTTTGCCACATCCTACTGATCTGCCTCCTCAGCCTCTCTTGCCTTTGTCCCTTTCCTTCTACTCAGGACACCCTGAGTATGTTCTAGGCGATCATGACCTCTCAGCCAGAGAATCGCAGTCCCCTCCCAACTGATCTTCCTGCAGTCAGGCTTCCCTTCTCCAGACCATTCTCCCCAGTGCTGCCAGAATCTGTCCTTGTCACTCTCTGGTTCAGCAAGCCTCAGTGACTCCCACTGCCCTTAAAATCTTATCGGAAGCCCATCACAGTCTGGGTCTAGCCTGTATCTTCAGTCTGATCACATGTGTGTACCTTATGCTTCAGTCAAATTGATCTCCTCGCTGTCCCCTTTACAAGATGTGATATTTCCTGTCTTAGTGCCTTTGCTGCGCCTCCTGCCCCCCTCCCCTCTCACTTCCTGGATCCTAGAGCTGCCTTCAAGACTTGGCTGAAGTGCCATCGAGGCCTTCAAGATACCTTTCTTAATTCCCCAGTCTTGAGTATCTCCCTCCCGTCCCTCAGTGTGTCTTTATTTTGTATATAGCCTGATTTTTACCTTTTTTGTGAAATGTTCTACCTACCCCCACACACACCCCATAGACTATAAGCTCCTTGAGTGCGCAGACTGGATACATTTGGCCTTGTACTCTAGCACCCATCGTACTGCCTGACACGTAGGACAGGTACCTAATAAATGTTTGCAGATCGATCGATTAATTGACCTGAACTGTTGCCATCGATTCAGTTCCTGCTCCCCTCCTGTAAACTGTTCCTCTGCTTGGGGAGAGGAGGTGGTTCCATGGCAGTCAAGGCTGTGGAGCTCCTGTGGATGTCACTGAACCACGCAGGGGGAAAAACGGCATAGTTCGTGGGCAGTTTGACCGGCTCTTGGAAAAAGGTGCGGGCGTAAAATGGAGTGGTAGCCGGCCAAGGGGGTCTGCAAACCCAGGCCCCTTTGTGGCCTGCTGTGGGTTCTGCCAGCCGCTGGCCAGGAGACCTTTCCGATCAGTTCAGAGAAGCTCGTGGAAAGAATTAGAACAACCTTTTTTTCTGAGGAGGGAGCATATACATGATATCTGTAACATATATGCACACATATAGATGTACGTATGTATCAGCATGATACGGGGACCAGAATCCTAGATTTGGAGTCAGAATGCCAGCTTGAGTCAGGCTGACATCTAACACTTAATTGCTCTTTTAAAATGAGCAAATGGTAAGGGTGGTAGTTAACATTCATATTGTATTTTAAGGTTTACAAAGCTCGATATGTGTACTTTCTCCTTTGATTTTCACAGGAATGATATGGAGAAGGTTCTGACTCCTGTTGTTACTTTACAAATTAGGAAATTGTGCCTGAGCCCTATTGAGATGCTGCTTCATTCAGGATCTTGTAGCTCGCAAGAAAGGATTGGAACCCAGATCACTGTAATTCCAAGTCCGGCGCTTTGTCCTATACACCTGAGCTCATTTTCTTTATCTATGAAATGGAAAGGATAGCAGCTGTAGGACCCGCCTCACCAACTTAATGCGAGGCTCACCTGGGATAGTGGTGTATGGAAAGGGCTGGACAAATTGGCAGATTTCTCCTGCCTGGGTGACCGTGGCACAGCTCAGTAAACCTTCTTGGGTCTGAGTTTCCTCCTCTGTCAGATGAGGAGGGGAGTGGCAATCTTTTCTTCCAAACTTCGTCACTCCTTTGAGAATAATTGGCTATTTCCAAGGAGTCTTTCCGGGTATTTCTCAGCTATCTTTAGTCTACCGTGATCTCTTTTCTTGCCTAATGTTTGTGTCGGCTGAAAGGGATAGACTTTGTGGACACAGGTTGGGTGCGGTGGGTTGGGGTTGCTGTCATCCACATCTGTGTGTCTGTGTCCATGTGCTCACCTCTCCCTACTGCCCTCTGGGTGACTGGTGGCTTGGCTTCTCCAGCGTCTGTGCTGTGGCGTGACTCTCACCTATGGCGAGGAGAGTGATGTTAACATGGGCGCCTCGCATCTGCTCGCCTCTGTGGGCCATGGCAGAGCTGCCTCTTGGTGTTGTTGATCAGCCGAGGCAATGTGAGGAAAAGACGATTTTAAAAAATTACAGATGGAACTTTGTTTCCTGGAGAACCTTGATATTTTAAAAATACAGACCAGCAATGTTCCCAAAACAAGCCAGGCTGCTCTTTCCTCCAGTCAATTCTAGGCCCATTTCATTGTTTATTTGCTGTATCTGTCTAAGCTGTATGAACAAATAAATGAAGGAATGAATGAAAAATAGCATTTATGGAGTGCTTTATGTGCAAAGCACTGTGTAGAGTGCTGGGGATACAAATAGAAAAGTGCACCTAGTAAGCAGCTGATAAATGTTTTTTCATTCATTTATTCATTCGTCAGTCAGTCATTCCTTGCTCTTAAGGAAAGAAATTCTAGTGGGGGAAAGACCACATCTGGAAGATTTCCAGTGTATTCAGTTGGAAAGGCTTCATCCTCCTTGGGTTGCAGTGGCAAAGCTAATGATTATGCTTCTCCTTTTAATTGCATGTCCACTGATAAAATTACGTCATTTTCTGTTTCCAAGGATGTTGGGGACCAGAACGTTCTGTCCTGAGTCATCAGTGCCTGTGTCTCTGATACCTGTAGGAGCAGGTGCTGGGCTGCTTTCCTCAATAATGGCCTGGGAGCATTGCTGTTTCCAGGGCGTCAGGGTCTGAGGGGAAGTGGTCGTTGAGGGGATGGTGGTGGCATTCACCCGGCCTGGGCCGTGCTGCCTCCTGTCTCTGCCTGAGGGCGCCCTTGCTGCTTCACCGAGGCTGGCTTTGCCTGCCTGGCGGGCAGCGCTTGGTAAGAAGGACCAGCCCCTTGTCCACAGGAGTTGTTTCCCCAGATGATGGCTAGAGGCACCGTGATAAGCACCAGAGGCAGAAGATAGTCCCTGCCCTCAAGGAGCTTACAGTCTAAGGGGGGAGACAACACACAAACAAATAGATGCAAAGCAAGCTATTGGTAGGCATAGGAAATAATGAACAGAATGAAGAGGGGCTGGGGGAGGCCTCCTGTAGATGGTGCGAGTTGAGTTGGGAGTGGAAGAATCTCATGGCTCTCGCCATTTCCCCAGCATCAAAGTCCTACCATTCCAGTACTTTGGTGGATTTAGGAGCCCACCTTCATGTGCCTCTTGTCCCCATCTTTTCATCGCTCCGCCGTGGGAGGGCCACCTGACATTCTGGGCAGTCTTGACTGATTACATTCTCTTGCAGTCACTTTGGCTTTATTGACTTCTTGGCAGAGGAGGTAGAGGAGAGCTGTAAGCTGGCAAAAGTTTGTGTGATTAAAGTTTTGAGACCCGTTGTTTGAAAGGATGCCCTTGCTGCTTAACGTTCCCACTGGTAATCACTTCTCCCTATAACCTGTCATTTCCATTTCCCTATGACTGGGTTAGTTTGTTGGCATCTCTTTCAAAAACTTTGCAACATCTGTGAGGCTCCATTTTCACCAAATACTCTAATTTTCTCCACGGTGATTTGAACCCACACACATGCCACATTTTTTACTGGCTGGCTCATCTTGACTGTTCAGTCTGGCAGGAGATTCAGGTTCTGAGAGTGGAAAGTTCTGCTTTGTACTCTTACCTCTGCGTAGGAATGACATGGCTGTTGTGGAAAGAACATTCGACTGGATGATAAAGCCAGACCAGATGCTTTCCATCGGAATGGAGGAGCAGAGTGGAGGTTAGAATTTAGGAGGACTGACTGAGCAAATGATTCACAGATCAGTAGAAGAGACTCTTGAGAGAGTCTGTGATCCCTCCTCTGTTGGACCCTGCCCTGACCAGTCCACGTTTATTCTGTTGTGCTCCATCTTGAGTGCGATGTTTTTGGGAGCATGATGACATGCCGAAGAGCATCCAGGAATGGATGACTAGGGTGGGTCAGTGGATGTGCTGTCGTTGCATATGATGGCTGTCCAAAAGAACCGCAGACCTGGAGAAGACTTTGGGCAAGCGTGAGGAGACCACTCCGGGATTTGAATGGGAAAGGTTTATGTTTCTTCCCCTTGGAATCAGGAGAAA